CAGGCAATTCCTCCTACTCTTTAATCTTGCTTTTTTCGAAAGCCATATATCCTTCATTATAATCTCTAAAAGTAATTCACTCTTATTTTAGAACAGAATTATTCTTATAAAAATGACATGTTATTTTTAAAAATTAATAGAGAGAGCTGGGTGTGGTGCCTTACACCTGTAATCCCAGCTACTCTGGAGGCTGAGGTGGCAGGACTGCTGGAGACCACCATCAGGAGTCTGAGACTAGCCTAGGCAACACAGTGAGACCCAGTCTTCAAAAAACCGTTTAAAGAAATGGTTTTAGGGTTGGGTGTGATGACTCATACTTATAATTCCAGCACTTTGGGAGGCCAAGGCAGGCGGATCACCTGAGGTCAGGAGTTCAAGACCAGCCTGGCCAACATGGTGAAACCCCATTTCTACAAAAAACACAAAAATTAGCCACATGTGATGGTGGGTGACTGTAATCCCAGCTACTCAGGAGGCTGAGGTGGAAGAATCACCTGAACCTGGGAGGTGGAGGTTGCAGTGAGCCAAGATTGTACCATTGTACTCTAGCCTGGGTGGCAGAGCAAGACTCTGTCTCCAAAAAAAAAAAAAAAAGAAATAATTTTAGCTGGGTGTGGTGGTGCACACATGTAGGCCGAGCTACTCAGTAGGCTGAGGCAGGATGATCTCTGGAGCCCAGAAGTTTGAGGATGCAGTGAGCTATGATGGCACCACTGCACTCCAGCCTGGGCGACAGAGTGAGACACAGTTTCTAAAAAAACAAAAAAAGTAATATAGAAAAGTGCAAAAAAGAAAAAAATCCCTATCACTTTGAAACAATCATTAAATATTACACAAACATTATTCCAAACATCTCACTAGACATATGCTCAAAGTAAAAGATAATATATACACAAAAACAAAATTTTAAGAAAATGGGATACTAATCCTGTCACTTTATATTTACTACTTCAGAAGATATAGAAGAAACAAAGTTATAAAGTCACAAAGTAACTGAAAATGACCTGGCAAGAGTTAGATCAGTTAACTGTTATTTAAAAAAAAAAAAAAAAAAGGAAAGAAAGACAAAGAAAACCTGATAGATGCTTTAAAGATGAAGATTTGCATTTTAAGAGAATAACAGTCAAGCCTTTGTGGAAATTGAGTAATCTTAAATACTTTTAGCAAAAATAACCCTCTTTTAGTTCTGCAAAAGCAAACATGAAGTCAAAGAGGCATGTCGCATGCAATTTTGTTGGAAAAGATTATTATATCCAAGAATTAGTACACAAGTATAACCTAAATTCTCTTTAAGACAAAAAAGTTTTATGATTTTCAAATTTTTCAAGTTATAGTACAATAAACTTTAAGTTTTAAGTTATTTGTTTTGAGTAAGTAGATTCTCTAAGTCCCTTTTTAGTCCTAAACGTCATGCCTCAAGAGTCTAAAGTAGCAAATGAAACAAGGGATCAGATGATCACTTAGCCAAGTTTTCCAAATGAAGCATGAATGGATGGGTGAACAGGAATATGCTTACCTTCTATCATAGCACCCTCAAAAAGTAGAAATTAAATCCCCAAACATTCCAGGTTTTTTAAAAAAACCGTTATAAATATCATCCAACAGTGTGTTTCAAAACTATTTACATTTTCAGACAAACATTTGTCAGGATTTTCTGACATCTCTGTAGGACGGTACTTCCTACTAATTGACCTTGCTCATTCAAGTTTGATACACACAGTTTTTTGCTACTTTTTAAAAATCTAGGACTTGATGGACATATCCCAATGTTTCCCTTAGAGTCTATTCATGAATAGGAACAGATTTCCAACATTACTACAGCAATTTCCATGTGCCATGCACTAAACAACACTCTGTGACCATATTCTCTTCTCATTTACTTTCCAAACCAGTAAGATCTGACACTCACAATATGAAAGTTCTTATTCTCCTATTCATTTGAGGTGTTTTATCATGTTCACAATATATCTTTCAGGAGGTATAGAAGCCAGAGCTGCAAAGAGCATTCTAGACATGAGTGCCTCGTAATTTTATAAAAATTGAAGTGTTACCAATGTCACTGCTGATGAAATTCAATGCACTACTGATATTCCTGAATGAAATCTATATGGAAAAAAACTTTAAGCTTACAAAACTGTCCAAGTATTCAACCTTAATGAATATTTACAGTTAAAAATATTATTATTGATATATAATTGTATGTATTTACAGGGTACATGTGATATTTTGATACATGCATACAATGTGTAACGGTCAAATCAGGGTATTTAGAATATTCATCGTCTCAAACATTTATCATTTCTTTGTGTTGGGGACATTTCAAATCTTCTAAACCATTTTGAAATATACAATAAATTGTTGTTAACTATAGTCACCCTACTGTGCTACTGAACAGTAGAATGTATTCCCTCTAACTATTTTGGAACTCATTAACCATCCTCTCTTCATCTTTTCCCTCTCCCACCCTTCCCAGTCTCTGGTAACTATCATTCTACTCTTTACCTCCATGAGATCAACATTTTTAGCTCCCACATGAGAACACGTGATATTTATCTTTCTGTGCCTGGCTTACTTAATTTCATATAATGACCTCCAGTTCCATCCATGTTGCTGGAAATGACAGGATTTCATTCTTTTTATGGCTGAATAGTAGCCCATTGTGTGTGTGTTTATGTATGTGTACATATATATATGTGTCACACTTTATCCATTCATCTGTTGATGAATATTTAGACTGATTCCATATCTCAGCCACTGTGAATAGTGCTGCAATAAACATGCGGGTGCAGGTATCCCTTTGCTATTCTGATATCCCTTCTTCTAGACAGATACCCACTATTGGGATTGCTGGTGGGCAGTTCTAGTTTTAGTTTTTTTGAGAAACCTGCATACTGTTTTCCATAATAGCTGTAGTAATTTACATTCCCACCAACAATGTCAAATATTTACTGTCAATGATTACACTGATTCAGCCATTACTTAAACAATCTTCTATAAAAATAAGTAAATCAAGTATAAGAATTCTGGGCTTTATAATCAAAGGTATCGTAAATCAAACAATAAAAAACACTAGTAAACAATAAGTCAATTCTCTTAAAGTTTAACATATTTTTTACATAAGCAATTTTCTAACTGAGAACTAAGACAATAAATGTGAAATAACTGTCTTAGTCCATTTTGTGTTGCTACAGCTGCATACCTGAGACTGGGTAATTTATGAAAAACAAAAAATAATTTCTCACAATTCTGGAGGCTGGGAAGTCCAAGATCCAGGCATTTGATCTGGTAAGGGCCTTCTTGTTGCATCTCAACACGGCAGAAAGCAAAAAGGTAAGCTAAAATGCTAAACTTTTTGTGGAGGCTCTTTTTTTTTTTTTGAGATGGAGTCTCGCTCTGTCGCCCAGGCTGGAGTGCAGTGGTGCGATCTCAGGTCACTGCAACCTCCACCTCCTGGGTTCAAGCAATTCTCCTGCCTCAGCCTCCCTGGTAGCTGGGATTACAGGCGCATGACACCATGCTCAGCTAATTTTTGTATCTTAGACATGACACGGGGTTTCACCATGTTGGCCAGGCTGGTCTCAAACTCCTGACCTCAAGCAATCCACCCACCTCAGCCTCCCAAAGTGCTGGGATTATAGGCATGAGCCACCGTCCCCAGGCTGTGGAGCCTCTTTTATAAGGGCCTTAATCCCAAGAAGGATGGAGGAGTCCTCATGGCCTAATCACCTCCTACAGGCCCACCTCTCATTATTTTCACACTGGCAACACCTGAATTTTGGAGGGGACACATTCAAACCATAGCAATAACTGATTGAAGACATTTTAAAAATCTATTTGCAGCAGACCTCAGAAATGAACTATTATAAAAGCAAGTGATGTATTAACCCATGGAAATGGGAATTATCCTGGAAAAAGTGATAGGGAAAAAAAAGCATAAAGAAAATAAGGATATACACAATAAACATTATACTCTCTAATCAAAAAGAAACATACAAAGTCTAGGATTAATAAAGAGAACTGTGAGCTGGGTGTTAAGAGGCCTGAAATTCAAAGGTAGAATTGCCCAAAACAGCTAAATAAAGTGGGTTAAGTCGTTTTATTCTGGATCTCAGTTTCCTCATCTTTAAAATGAAGACAAAGGGTCAGATGTGCTCTGATTCTTCCTGCTCTAAAATTCTATAGTTCTATGTTACTTAAAACTGAGAAACCATCTGGTTTCTTTACCACAGTGCTAGCTATCTGGCTGCGGCCTACCACCACTTTTCCCTGACTGATTACTCACCAAACAGAAACACTGCATTTTCCAGGCACTGCCACTATCTTACACCAACTAGAAAGGACTAGATTCAAATTCAGACAGATAACTACTTTCAAATGACTGATGCTTCTTGGGCAGAATCTTCATTACAAAATGCTTCATACCTCCGCTATACCATATCCAACTGGGCAACAGTGTAACACACAAAAACAAGTATTGCTAAGACAGTTACGAATACTCAAAGAAATAGCTTTAACTGCGGAAAATGCAGAAACCAAGGCTGATGCTCAGGTTTACTCTTCAGTCTGTAGTGAGTTTGAATGCCATCTTTCAAGCCAATAAACAGAGATTCCTTGAGATAAATGGGTACAACTTAGCAGCCCAGACCACAAAACTATATCCTATTTCTAGGAAAGAATACCAGAGCAAAACCATCTTTTCAAAGTACCATTTTCATTTCCATTTTAATTATCACACAGATGAAGCCTTGTTGAGGTCTATCATGCAAAGAACTTTTTAATAGTCTAAATCAAGTATTTCAGACCTCAAACATTCATAACATTTTAAAACAGGGGCAACAGAGAATCTGAGCTTTGCTTTTCAAAAATATTTTAACCCCATTCTTTTTATTATAAATAATACTTCCACAAAATAAAATATTATTGTAATAAAATGAAGAAACACAGTAGTACAAATAAACTGATCACTAACAAACAGCTTCAGAACAGATTTTCCATCTTACCTCCACACTAGGGCTAAGGCTGCTGGGCAGTGTTTCTGAAGTCACAGTAGAGCTTGGGAGGCTGGAAATTTCCCAAGTATTCACAGGCTGAATTGGTTCGGACAGCTTAGAACGATCTATACATTTTGGATTATCCAGTAAGGTCACTTCATAAAATTCTTGAATATCTAGAAGAAGGAAAATAAAAATTCAAAAGTATTTCTATTTTCTAACTAAATTATGCAATGCTTTAACATAACTCAAAAGCACAATTTTTACTCTAGATTCATAAATTAATTCCCATCGTATAATGTACTTAAACAGTGAATATTATTTCATTACATCACAATCATATCAGAACCTGCAGGGCACAGTATAAAATTCATAGGCTTTTTACACTTTAAAGTCAGGGCTTGGTTCAAATCCCAACTCCATCACCAACCAGCTACAAGTTCAGGCAAACTACTTAACCTCTGGTAACTTGCCTCTTACCACTGTGAATTGTTTCAAGGATTGAGTATAATATATATAAAATGCCTACCACTATAGCACCGAATGGGCTCCTAACAGACGGTAGCTAGTATCATTATTGTGAATTCTACAGATATGAGTTATTACTGTTCACCACCAATATTTAAGCTGGGAATGTAAATCCCTCAAGTGGTTTTAATTGCCCTTCTAGCCAAAGCCAAAGCCAAAAAAAGAGGAAATTAAAATCAAAGAACCAGAAGGGCTTTCGGATATCCTCTAGTCTGAATATTTTATAACAGTAAATTAAATATTTTATTCTTTAGAAACAGTAAAAGTCATGACAAAACTGTAAAATAAATGATAAATTTATAATAGCCCAGGATTTTTAAAAGATCAAATGACTTTGCCAACAGCTAGAATTATAAGAACTTAATACATTAACACTAATTATTCACGCTATTCCAAAGCTATTATGTAGCAGTTATATAATACTTAGATTCACCACACTCAGTTCCTTATTCACCAACTTGTATAATTTTGGATTTTTTTTAAAGAGAAGGGAATAGTAAAAGTGGGCATTATCCTGTATAGAATAATTCATAATAACTGTAAACAACATTTAGACAGAATAACTTATACTTCTCATTATTTTGAAAGCATTAGTACTTTTAAAAAACAAACTTCACAAAATAGAGACAAAGTTAACTCCCTTTTCAGTTGTGTGTGTGTGCTTTTCTGTTTTGTTTTGTTTTTTTTGAGACAGAGCCTTGCTCTGTCGCCCAGGCTGGAGTGCAGTGGTGTGATCTCGGCTCACTGCAACCTCCACCTCCCAGGTTCATGCAATTCTCCTGCCTCAGCCTCTGAGTAGCTGGGACTTCAGGCACGCGCCGCCATGCCTGGCTAATTTTTGTATTTTTAGTAGAGACAGGGTTTCACCATGTTGGCCAGGCTGTTCTCGAACTTCTGACCTCAGGTGATCTGCCTGCCTCAGGCTCCCAAAGTGCTGGGATTACAAGCCTGAGCCACTGCACCCAGCCCCCTTTCAGTTTTAATAACCAGTGGAATTGCAAAACTTTCCAAGTAAAGGGCTGGTAACAACTAATGCTTGTACAGTGAGGATATTAACCTACCTCACGGGGTGTTAAGGATATTATATACACACATACGCACACACACACACGACGCACTATACACACACGCACACACCTACATCACACTATGTAAAACAAATTCCAACTATAGCAAAACAATGCTTCAAAAGTCACATCCCTCGGGTTGGGCGCGACGGCTCCCGCCTGTAATCCCAGCACTTTGGGAGGCTGAGGCGGGTGGATTGTGAGATCCGTGATCGGGAGACCGAAACCATCCTGGCTAACACAGTGAAACCTCGTCTCTACTAAAAATACAAAACATTAGCCGGGCGTAGTGGTGGGCGCCTGTAGTCCCACCCAGCTACTCGTGAGGCTGAGGCAGGTGAGTGGTGTGAACCTGGGAGGTGGAGCTTGCAGTGAGCAGAGATCGCGCCACTGCACTCCAGCCTGGGCGACAGTGAGACTCCGTCTCAAAAAAAAAAAAAAACAAGTGTAAAACCTAAAACTATAAAACACTAGAAGAAAACCTAGGAAATAGGGACCCCTGCTGTATAATACCGCAAGAGTGGATACACGTGTCAAAGCAACAAACATGCACATCAGATTTGTCAATGTACAATGCAAAGAGTGACTACTAATGTATAGACCTTAGCTAGTAACAATATAATAACATTGGCTTCTCAGTTTTTTCAAATATATCACACTAATGCAAGGTTTCTTTTTGTTTTTGAGATGGGGTCACTCAGGCTGGAGTGCAATGGTAAGATCATGCCCATTGCAGCTGTGATCTCCTGGGCTCAAGCAATTCTCTCATTCTGGCCTCCTAAAGTGCTGGGATTATATGCATGAGCTACCTAAGCCCAGTCTTTTTTTTTTTTTTTTTTTTTAGAGACACAGAGTTTCACTCTGTCACCCAAGCTGGAGTACAGTAGCGCCTTGACCTCCTGGGCTCAACGAATCCTCCTACCTCAGGCTCCCAAGTAGCTGGGAAGACAGATACATGCCACCATGCCTGGTTAAATTTTTTTTTTTAAAGACAGGGTCTTACTACGTTGCTCAGGCTGGTCTCAAACTCCTGGGCTCAAGGATCCTCCTGCCCTGGTATCCCAAAGTGCTGGGATTACATGCGTGAGCCACCACACATGGCCTGCAAGATGGAAAAGGGAAGTGGGGGTTCCGGATATGGGAACTGTACTTTCCACTCAATTATTCTGTAAATTCAAAACTGCTGAAAAAATCTATTAATGTTTTAAGCTGCATGAGGGATAAATAACAAATTTATATTAAAAGGTGATCTCATACTCTTCATCAAGATAATTTCCAAATGTATTAAAAATTACAATGTTAAAAAAAGTCTTGAAAGAATTTGAATACAGGTGAATGTTTTTATAATCTCGGGAATAGATTATAATTGTCTTGGGGCCTAGAGTATCGGGGATGTCTCCAAATGTGTTATTAAGGGCAAAAAGCACTATACTGATAAAGAAAAATACTGATAAATCTAACCACATATGTGTATATAGATACATGTTTTCTTTAAAATCCACGTTTAAAAGCAAATAACAAGGGAAGTTATTTGCAATTTACATGGCAGAGTTGATATGCCTAATGTAGATTTTATAACTCTAAGAAAAAGGAAAAAGGAGGAGGAAGGGGCACAAATTAAACAGATAATTTACAAAAGAAATTAAAATAATTAAAGACTTTCTTACATCTTTGGTTATTTCTTTAATCAACAAAATGCACAATAAAACATAAAAATGACTAAAGGTATATACCACATATCAGAGTAGAAAATATTTAAAAGATGGCTAATACTCTATTGTTTAAGGTATGGTGAATTAGTCATTCTTCCACATACTTCCTAAAAAATAAATACAATATTCCTAAGAGTATTTAACAAATTACATCAATAGCCTTACAATGCACACTCCCTTTGACCAAACAATTCATTTCTAGGAGTTTGTCCTACAGATATAGTAAAGAATTGAAACAAAAATGCATATGCAAATACGATATTTATAATTCGCAAAAATTACAAACCTAAAAGCTCCCAGGATACCATTAAAAAACTACAGAAACTCTATATAGGCCGGGTGCGATGGCTCACACCTGTAATCGCAGCACTTTGGGAGCCTGAGGCAGGCAGATCATGAGGTCAAGAGATTGAGACCATCCTGGCCAATATGGTGAAACTCCGTCTCTACTAAAAATGCAAAAACTAGCTGGGCATGGTGGCACACGTCTGTAATCCCAGTTACTCGGGAGGCTGAGGCGGGAGAATCACTTGAACCCAGGAGGCAGAGGTTGCAGTGAGCCGAGATTGTGCCACTGCACTCCAGCCTGGTGACAGATCGAGACTCCATCTCAAAAAAAAAAAGAAAAAGAAGAGAAAAGAAGAAAATCTATATAAAGTCATTTAAAATAGTACAAATCTGTCCGGGCAAAGTGGTTCACGCATGTAATCCCAGCACCTCAAGAGGCTGAGGCGGGCAGATCACCTGAGGTCAGGAGTTCGAGACCAGCCTGACCAACATAAAGAAACCCCGTCTCTATTAAAAATACAAAATTAGCCAGGCGTGGTGACACGTGCCTGTAATCCCAGCTATAGGAGGCTGAGGTAGGAGAATCACTTGAACCTAGGAGGCGGAGATTGTGGTAAGCTGAGATCACACCACTGCACTCCAGCTTGGGCAACAAGAACAAAACTCCGTCTCAAAAAATAGTAATAATACATACATACATAAATAAAATGGTACAAATCCACTGACATGGAAAGACATTTGTTGATACACTTTGGAGGATAAAAACAGTCACAGAAATCATACTATTCACACTTATACAAATACAACTGTGGTATACCTCCCCCACAAAAAAGGGCAACCCTGTCTACCCATTAAGTGACAGCCACAAATAAAGAAATGAAAAGGAAGAAGATTCTTCCTTTAGGTAGTCTAAGTTTTCATGTGCCTCTCAAAATGTGAGCATCATGCCATATCTCACTGTGCTGAGTGTGATTCTATAGTTACGTGTTTTTAGTACAAGAAGTCAAACAAGCCAATGGCTTCACCTAGAGCTCAAGTGAAGAAATCATTCCTTTCCACTAGAGGAAAAAAAAATTGTGCTGTAATTAACAAGTGTTAAATTTCTGAAGGATTTTCAGGGATAATCTTAACTAGATGAGATTTTTCACCTTACATGCTGATTTTAAATATCAATTCTCACGCAGGAAACAGCTGTTTTACTTAGGAAGTTTGTTTTGCAAAATGAAGGTAGGTATATGTGTGTATACACACACACACCCACACACACACATACAAATAACACTCTAGGATATTCATCCCATGGATGAAGCAGGAGGTAACCTCTGGTGTGAGGATTTTCTTGTTTATGGCATTTTACATATAATAATCTGATCTCAAATGTTTTATATAGAACGTGCATCATTGTTATAATAAATTTATTTTGTAGGGTTGCAGGAAAGGCAACTAGAAAGCTGAAGAACATTGAAATATAACCCTACCATTTCAGAGGAAAAAAATTCTATCACTTCATTGACTAAAAGCAAGTATGATTAGTCATACAATACCCAATTGAGTAATCAAAATTAGTATCATCAAAGGGTA